GAGTAGAGGATGCTGAGGACAGAGTTAGGGGGAAACAGATGATTTGCTGTGGCGACCCCTAATGGGAACAGCCGAAAGAAGTAGGCAAAAAAATATTAATTGTCAAATATAAATAAATCGAATTGTTTAGGCTAAATATTTCAAGTGCATATCTCCATATGCCCATAAACCACAAGGGAACACAACATCCTAATGACATGAAAAAGGATTTTTAAAGAAACAGTTTGAGGAAACAGACCCCAGAGTCTTATGTCATCATGATTAGGGAGGGGCCAGAGGACTCATCAGAACTGAACTCTCAAATCCAAACTGACAATGATTACCACATTTGAACAAAAAATATTGTTTTTACAAACAATTATTTTTTTTTAATCATTTGTATTAGCAGCATATGTCAACAAAATTCCATATGATTATGTCTACAGCCAAAAAAAGCAAATTCCTTTATGAATGTAATTATTTCTAAGATAAATGACAAATGTATAATCTCCATTAAAATAATGATTAATCTGCATGAAATATCACAGAAAGTTATGATTCTGTAAATAGCTGCCTTGATGTTCATACTGAGAAATGTCTGCGAGTTTCATGTGGTCCTCATATCCCAACACATGTATCAGCTGACCACACACAGCACATGACTGCTCTGCCCACTACTCACTCCTGGCTGTTAGTTTTCTGAGGCACCCCAGGGTGTGTGTGTGCACGCATTTGCATGTGAGTAAGGGAGAGAATGAGTGTATTTTTCTGTTCATTTACAGACATCTTGATCTTTCCTGTGTGTGTGCATGCGTCTGTATATATTGAAAGATGCAGAACAATTTGTTCAAAGGAAAAGGTTTACACAGACCCTCAAGGGATGACATCTTCATTGCAGGGCAGTCACACATCTACTCACAATTCTTTAAAATGATAAACTACAAATTCACATTGTATTTACAGTGTTGCCCTAATTGAACTACATTTGCTTGTTAGTTTAACTGAACCTAACATTTAGGTAGCAAACTTCATATCTCATATTAAACAGTGTATTAGTGATTTCTAGTAGGAATACAGTGTTTAGATTGCACAATTTAAACTAATATTTTCATGTTATTACTTTTTACATAAAGCATTTTCATCATAAGTTTGTGTTGTCCATGTGCGTGTTCTTGAACTTGCTATATAGTAAGGATCAATAATATACTTTTTGCTACAGAGTGAGTTTTCTCAGTTGGCTGTGCCTGATAAGACTAGTGAGCTGTAGGAAAACTCATCTATCAGTGTATTGTTTTTTGCTGTGACACCCCCATTCATAATCAAAAAGTGGATAGTGTTTGTTATCATCGTCCACTACTGGTATAATGGAGACAAAACCTGTGAGACTGTTTGTCATGTAAAATATAAATGAAGCCCTGGAGATCAGGTTTTAAACCACACAGTGCTTCTAAACAGTTTTATCTTATTTCACAAAATTTGCAGTTTTCATTTTCCTTTTTAACTCTTATTTTTAGTTTTGTTTGATGGTGTAGAAAGGATACCACACACAGTAGAAAATTGTTTAAATGTCCTGTCAA